ATTATTCATATTTTCGATATGATAATATAAAAATTAAATTTAAAGACATAAATTTGATTTGCATATAAGTACATGATATTTACATATAACATAATATAAAAAATCTAAATATTCTAACGGGCTTTAATGCAAAGTTAAATTATCTTAATATTTAGGATATAGTAGAAGTATTTATGTTCGAGGATCACTATATAAGATGAAAAATATTATTAAATTTTTATATAATTTAAAATATTGATGCATTTGATGATATATCAATCTTGATTAATTTTTAGATTACATAGGTAAAATTTATAAAACTTAAATCTTTATTTAAAGAGAAGAATATAATGTTTTAGTATTATAAATATAAATATTAAAAGGATAAACTGTAAAAGTTACCAAAAGAAAAAGTGCATTTCATCCCACCCCCTCCCACGCACCTTTGCAGGAGGTAAGTCTGGAGGAGAAGGGAAGGAGAGGAAGAAGAGAGGAAGAGAAGGGGAAGAAGGAGAGAACAGGAGAGAAGGCTGCGCTGTGGGGGAGAACGGAAGGAGAGGAAGAAGGGAAGAAGAAGAGAAGAGGAGGTTGCGGCTGCGGCTAGGTCCGTGGTCATGGGAGAAGAGGAGAACGGAAGAAGAGAAAGGGAGGAAGGAAAGGAGAGGGAAGAAGGGGCAGTGTTGAGATCTGATTCATAGTTATCTATCTAGATTGTTATCATGATCTAGTGGTTACATAATGATTTCAATAACCACTTCAATCATGATCTAGTAGTTATAAGGTGGTTTCAATAACTACCTCATGATCTAGTAGTTATAGGTGGTTATCACTAGGTCCTATAAATAGGACCGTAATTCATGTAGCAAGGCATAGAAGTAGAGAAAGATAGAGAGTCTGTGTGCATTTGGTATATTGTAAGTGTTCTTATCAATTCTCCTGTTTTTAATACTATATCAATTTTCTTGAGTCAAAAGGATTCTTTTTACTCGTATCGTAGTATTCTATTTTTTCCTTGCTCCTCCATCCCCAACATTTATGGTATCAGAGCCTAATTTCAATCTGAACTGGGAATTATGGCTTTCAATGGCAATTCCATGTCTCAATCCCTTATCCCTATCTTCTCGGGCAAAAGCTATGAATTTTGGAGTATCAAGATGAAAACTCTATTCAAGTCTCAAGATCTTTGGGACTTAATAGAGAATGGATATGCAGATTCAAATGACGAAATCAGGCTGAGGGAGAATAGAAAGAAGAACTCAAAGGCATTATTCTTCATTCAACAAGCTGTACATGAGACGATATTCTTAAGAATTGTGCAGCGACAACCTCAAAGCAAGCTTGGTTGATACTTCAAAATGAATTTCAAGGCTCATCA